AAAATTCATTAACCCTCCTTTATAACTCGAAACAAATTTTTTTAACAGATGTAGAAAGTCAAGTAAATAAAACTAACCAAGAGTATCACCAGGATTCCTATCCGGATGATACTGCAATGCCAGCTTCCTATAACTGTTCTTAATTTCTTGTTCACTAGCATTTTTAGCTACTCCAAGGATCTCATAGTAATCTTCTTCTTCCGTTTTCCCGCTCATCCTGTTTTTCTTCCACAGCTAGCGCCCTGCAGGAAGTGACAAATGTCTTGTAAATTAACCGGAAACAACACAACAAATAACGTCTCTTATCTTTATTTTTCCTATGACACTGCAAAATACTAAACATGTAGGACATCCTAACAAAAAAAAGATGATAAAGAAACTAAGATTTATCAACTAATAACCATAAAATTTGTTCCAAAATAAGAAGTATTCTTCTTTCCTCTCTTTTGGTTTAAACAAAACAATATCAGAGTTGAGCGTGAAAACTCTTCTCCTCTTCGTTTTCTTCTTATCCTTCTTCATCTCACCTTTTCTTTTTTTTTCCTCAAAAGTACCCAGTGAAAACTAGCGATGTGATATGAAGTAGAAAAGAGTTAGAAATGTAGAAAATTTGGTAAATCATAATGAATATTCATGGCCTTGTAATAAGTTGGTTTTTTTTTTTACGGTCACTGATACCATCATTATCGTTTTATCAACATGTACTGTAAACAACAACAAATAAATGCCACTAGAACAGCACATATCTTCGCGAATTGTTTAGCAGCTATCAAAATACTTGAACATAAGATTGAAAAAACAATAAACAAAAAAAAGTTAACTTAAAAAACAGCAGTAAATTTATCAAGAAAAAAAAAAAAAGAAACAAATTAAACAAAGGGAAAAAATTATTTATAAGACGAAAACTTTACAGAGCTAATCGGCAGCGAAATAAACAACACTTCGAGCAACTCTTAAACTTTGCCGGTGTAAACGCGACGCGTCACCCGATGGGCGGAGCTAAACCGCCGGAATCCAAGTTGGCTATACGCTAACTGCACTAAGGCAAATGTGGCCCAGTGTAGCAGCAAGCACAAAATTGATGATGCGAGCATTGCATCACCATGCATATGGCTGTTTGTATGAGCATGTGCTTACGGAAGTCATCGGCCCATCTGGAGCATACAAAACCCCTTGCTTCCTGTCTGTCATTTGATTCTTAGTTATATTCGTTGTCGTCGCCTGTACATTTACATTCTATTCATTAAGTTACCTTTGTTTCCTCGTTTAAATTTACGATTAAAAACAACAGGAAAGAAGTCACAACAACAGAAAAAAAAAAGGTACAGAAACAGTTTTGCATTGTTTCAGTAATTCTTTGACTTTTAGCATTATAAATTCTGATGCATTTAACGGTAGCGAAAACAGCAAAAAACAACAACAACAAGAACAACAATTACAAAAGTTGCTGATGATTGTTCGGTGATTTTGGCTGCTGCCAGTTTGATTTGCTGTTAAAAAAAGAATTTCCTGTTCATATTCTTTTTTCTTTTGATTTTTTGTTTAATTAATATTTCTAACTTTTTTTTTTTTGTTTTGTTCAGACTTTTATCAATAAATTGTGCAACCTAAACGGGGAAAAAATGACTCATTGTGTCAGCACTTTTAAACTTCACAGGCACTACCTATTTGTATAGGCAATCCCAAACTTTGAGCTGTACACATTTTCAATTGATCATAAATTGTTTTTTCTCCCTCTGTTCACCATCTCCTCCCAAATTTAACTAAATGCTATAATTTAAACTTTAGTTGTAGTGCGAAAAAAAGTTTACAAAAAAAAAAAAAGTGTATTAGCAGTATACATAAACTTTACTGAAGCATGAAACAAAAAAAAAAACAAAAAAAAAAATTTAGTATTTATTGATAGTAATGTGGAGAATTGTAAATTGGTTTGCTCACAAAGAATTTTCATAGCTCACTTTCTTTTTTGATTGACTATTTCTGAACAGTGACAAAAGGTTTTCCTGATTTATTTATTTCAACAGAACCAATAGGTAGCTTGTGGGTAAAAAAAAGGATTTTTCTGAACAGCTCTATTTAGAAAAGAAAGTTTCTCTTTCAGTAGTAAAGATTTCATTTAAAGAATTCTACAGAAAAAAATTCCATTTTTTTTATATATCAAAGGTTTGTAATGGTCATTGTACGCTAAATTAGCGACAGATGTAAGCGGAAGATCGGAGTTGTTGAAACCATGCAGAATTTTGTGATGCACTTAATTTTCTTTCTTATGCTTTTATAAGAAGTTGCGTAGGGCAACAAAATTTTCAATTAGTTTTATCAAAAGTCATTTATACAGTCCATTGAAATATCCAAAGATTTATGAACATTTTGACTATTCCTGTGCAATGATCCTGTTTTGTTGTCAAAATATTCATCGACTTATTGTATTTTCGTATCTTTCTCCTTTGAAATTTTAAATTTCATAACTATGTGTATGATATTTAGAAACAGTTTTCGTTTACCTGCTCTTATGTCCTTAATTCACATACACTGTGTCGAAATCTTAGTGAAGAAAACAAAAAAAGTCTACAGCAATTTTGTTGCTTAGTCTACGTCAAATTATTGATGCAGATGATTCAGAGGTGGAAAAAAAATACTATGAAACAAGGAAAGAAGTTTGAGGAAAGAAAAATGCAGTTCTTTGGTCGGGTTATCTGCTGTAACTAAGAATTGCTGCCAACTAAGATAGTCACTGTCGCACGTGGAAATAAGAATATGGGATAACGCTACAGCGGAACATCGAGCAGAATCCATTCAATAAAACAGTGCCTAATGTTTGTAGCCTTGAAATGTGAAAACGTGTCAATTCTATATGAAGGTCAACTGGTTGTTTATACCAGTTTAGTCACTTCCCTAACAAAAAAAAAAAAAAA